TTTATTTGCATTTTGTGAACCTATTGTAAGTGGCAGCCAAAACTGGAGAATGTATGTCTTTGTGTGTGGCATTCTGGTTTTTTTTTTTTTTTTGTCTTTTTTAATATTGGTTGTAATTTAAGGGCAGGGTATATAATGTTTGTGGCAAGAAGAAAGTTTTCCTTCCTAAGCTATTGTTTACACATAGTTCAGTTTCATTTGAAAACATCTGTCTCATGCATGCATAAATCCAAACTAAGTGATGTAAGCCAGCATAGCTGAACTGTTACATAAATAACATTTCTTAAATATATATTAATTTTTAGTTAAGATAGGGTTGCCTAAAGGCCTTGCAATCCAACATAAAACAGATAATTTGTTCCTGTGTTCATATGTTGCTTAGCACCACAGGGTTTCTGGATGATACAATAATAAAAATATTCATAAATACTATCCAATACCTTCCAACATAGATCATAGGCCTCATTATCCAGCAGCTTTTTGAACGCTGAAATGTAAAATCAGAACAAAAGTATTTCCCAATTAATGACGGACTAGATGTCTGTAAGGCTAGACAGGCATTATTGGCTCCTCCGCCTCATGTAAGGTGTGGTCACGCCTTGCCTGCTTCCAGAATGTTTGGGAAATGTCTTGCTTTGTTTTCTGCTTCAGCTTAATTCTTCTCAGGGTCCTCCCTCTGAGAGACTTAGATTTTTGTCGGAGATGTACGAAACTGTTTTCCTTTAATACAGTATTCTTACAATTATGATCCTGGAGGATGATGTAAGGAGTATATGCATGATTGAAGGTTAATGATCCAACTTAGAAAAGTGCTGCCATTTATATCTTCACATTGTAAACATTTGAGGTCTTATGTTCCTGCCCAGTTCTAAGTTGCCTTTTTGTCTATATTCCTGATTAATCTTATACTGCCATCTGCCTTTGCTCATGCCCAATACTGCTCAGCAATACCCAGCTCTGAATGCAAAGCAGGTATGGATGGTGCCTGCTCAAGGGGAACAGTGACCACAGCTGCTTTGTTCTCTGTATTTCTGTCGGTGTGGTGGCAGCAGTTTGGAGGGAACTACTATTTTTCTCTTTTTACCCCATGCCTAGCTCCTGGATGTTGGCAGAGATCCTCTCGACTTCGAGCGATGGAACAAGGGACAGATATACTGTGGTCTTCCTTGTTGCTCAGAATTCACTTACCTAACTTTATATGCAGATTCATAACTATTTCATTGTTGACAAGAGAGAATTGTCATTGTTAAGAATCATCTTATTTTGTCTTAATTCAGGCAGCCTCAAATTAAACCTCTGCTGAGTTAACATGGAAAAGCCACGAGGAACGGAATAGACCTTCTTAACATAGTGCAAAATAGGGCTTATTTGCTGCTTAGAACTGAGGAAAATCTAGAGGATCCTGACTCTAATGACAATTACTGATGTAAAGAATTTAACGATGGAGTTCAGTCTGAGTAGTTCTGCAGACCTGAGTTTGTCTAAAACATTCCCTCTCCTTTTCAGGTAGCTTGCTTGTGCCAAATCAGGTCTGTCGTATTGCTCAAGTACTGCACTGAGTTTTCCTGTTTGGTTTAGCTATTCTTAGTTACTTGTTTCTGCTTGGCAATGTACAGCCAACCAAAGGTGCAAAAGGAAAGGAAATACCTTTTGCTTTGTTCTTCAGTTAATTAAACTTGAAGTAAATTAAATTTCAGTTAATTAAATTTTTGGTATGGAGTTGAATAATTAGGAGTATATAAATAAAAATTCCAAATGCTGGGTTTTTTCCAGCATTCTTTACCTCAGAAACAGGACACACAAAAGGATGACAACCTGGGAAGCATCAATAAAATAGTTGGTAGGAAAGTAAAACATTGGCTGCCTTTTATGATTTCTTTGAAAACAGTTATTATTTTAAGGAGACAACATCTGTTCTACCTATGTCTTACAGTGAGAGGAAAAACACTATAAAAATAGACTTAATATGGGAACAGCTATATTTAAATAGACACAGTTGGTGCATATCAAAAACAGTAACTATTTGAAACAAAGAGAATAAGCGTAAGTGGCCACAAGGTAAAGTGGCAGAGTGAAAGAAGGGGATATTAGAATTGCTTCACTAACAGCATTTTGGTGCTTGGTAGTGGAATCAGAGGAAGACCAAGTGGCAATGGAGAAATTCCCTATGGCAGGAAGCACTAAGCATGGAAGTATGAGCAGCCGTCATACTCCAACACAATTTCCTAGGCTGGTTGGTTGTCCAGGACTCAGCCTGGCTGCTTAGCCCGAGTGAGCAGTTCTGAATTGGCCCACGTGTCTTTAGAAGGTATGGATAATCCCCTCAATATAAGTAAGTTAAAAGATGTTCAGCATTTACAGCTTTAAATGAGAGAAATAAGTCCTTGTGCTGAGATGAAATTCACCCTATGTTAGTTTGTGTTTATTTCACAGAAATAAATATAAATGCACTTGGTCTACTGCATTCCAAACAGATTTACTTTCAGATTATTTGTATAAACATCAAGAATATACCCTTTCTGAAAGGACAGTTTAAAGGTGTTTGTTTTTTTTTTCTTTATATATTCCAGGTCTACATATCCTGACTTTCTCTCTGTTCTGACTTGAGCGCCTATCCCCTGCCCCATTCAAACTCTTTTGCACTGTGTATGTTTTCTGCAGCCAGTTGTTTCCCTTCTTGAACGGACTGCAGGCTGTACCTTACTCCTCTAACTTCAGTTCTGGTTTCCTTGCTTGCTTCCTTAGTAGATCCCTTCTAGCAACTAGGGCAGCACGAGCACAGCACGAGCCGATAAACATTGTAGATGGATGTCACTCCACGTCTCCTCTAACGTACTTCTCACATGCAGAAAACAAATCTGAATTTTTGTATTTTGTACAGCCATGTACTAAGACCTCTTTGCAATGCACATGCACAATTAATGCTGATTTTTCCTGTGACAGATGCTGCTCTCTATTTCCATGATGCTGGCATGACTGAAATTCTTGACTTTTGACATAACTTTCTGCTGTGCACAATCACTAGCTAAACTTGCTGATGCTTTTCCATTTTCAGCATTAAACAGTATCTTGGGGCCAAACTCTGCACAGCTATGAATGTCCTTAGCCAAATTTCAAAGTAATATATTCTGCAGTGCAATTGAAAATATGACATGTGAAATGCTACTGATTATTCTAGAAATGTTCTAACAGTGCTGCGCTCTTTTCTTAGCCTAATAATCTCATTTCATTCCTCAGGCATTCTGCTCAGTATCTTTTCCCTGCCCCCCGCCATCCCAAGTATCGGTATACCAAGCTCTCATTAGGCAGGTCTATCAAAAGAGGCTAAAACTGCACCCCCCCAAAGCCAGGGGTGCTAAAATACCAGGTGTACAGAGGAGTAAGGGTATTTCACAGGCTTCCTTTACTGTGTCAGGCATAAATTCAGACTACATGACAAACTGACCTTCTTCAGAGACTTCCTACTATTTGACATCAGAAAGGATTTTGTCTGTATGTGGAAGGAGGGTGCCCTCAGGGTGCTGGACACAGCCTCTTGCTCCACTGCTTCAGCAGTCTAATTGCATCATGTAGTATGGCCGGAGAACACCGACTTACCAGATAAGATGCTCTTTTTTCTCATTTGCAGTTTGTCCCTCTTAGGATCCAGATTCCCTTACTAATTCCTCTAAGAGTAGAGGATAGCTTGGTACTTCCCATCGGTCACAAAGTGAGGTCTTCCTATTCTTTTGACCTTGAGGCCTTTCACACCTTAGCAAGTCCTACCCTGGAGGCATTTTGAGTGCACTCTGCAAACATACATGCTGCAAGTGACTGGCCCATCTTACCTGCTGTCAGCACCTGTTTTTACAGTACAGAGGGAAATTCTTTTCTCCCTCTGACCCCAAATCTTTTGGGAATGACACTTGCATGCCATCTTACATTCTTGAGTCTATCATAGCAGGTGTCTGATCAGCTGTGTGTCTTGTGATCCAGTTTGCCTTTGGTTCAACAATTCAATGCTTGCTAGACATTCCTCTCGTAAAAGTTCAGTTAAAAATCTACATGCAATTGCTGCATGAGACTATAAAGCCAGTGCCAGCACATTAAAAGAGCAGTATCTTACTGAGGTGACTTCTTATACCCAAATAGAATGGCAGATGGTTTCCCAGCCTGGACCTGCGTAAGATAGATGGTAACTCTGGCAAAAACACACTGCTGTTGGTCCAGGATGGACATGACTTGTGGTTCTTGACCCTTAGGACACCTATGAAAAGCAGCCTGTGTGAAAATTCATGGTCATTAAAAGTGTTATGAGTTCAGATATAACAGGTAGGTAACTCCCTCCCTTACCCTTACATTTGTTTGGTTGTTCCCCCCCTCCCCCAACTTTGGTAACTAATGACTATGTGGAGTATCTTGGGAGACACAGTCCATTGCCTTGCAATTTTTGTATGACGTTTTCAGCTTCCTGGGGGTATTTTTACAGAATGCTGAGCAGTCTGTCTTGTTTGAAGAGACTGACAGTTAGTGCAACTGGAGTATAAAACCATCTTTATCAAGTTATCAAATCTGCTTCTTGTTTACCTGAATTCCATGTGGAGAAAATGCCTCTCTGGGCCTTAGATAAACCAACTGCTATCCCATTCTTCAGGTTTGCCTGCCCTCTGCTGCCCTCTCGGGCAACTTCATGGGATGCAGAAGAATTTAAAGCTCTCTGTTGCAGCTGTTTTATTATGCATTTCATGGACACTTTCCTAACATGCACAAATATAAATGTAAAATACATGTGGAAATTAGAATGTACCTTGACATAGCATTGTTACTGGAGCTACAGATTCAGATTTAATTCCTGGTGTGGTAAAAATTACATATTGGCAACTGTTTGACAGATACAGAAGTTGCGCGTATGCAGGTGACTAATCTTCATTAGAGATTAAATTCCGTCACATAACTTAAGTGTGTACTTCTGAGCATTGCATGTTTGCTGTGCCAGTAGCTTGTGTTCTGCTTTATTTCAGGAAGGCTTTTCATTAATTGATTCCCACAACTGGTTAAAGATAGTAAGAAGAGCAGACTGCCTGCTGCTTCATGCACAGTCAAAGGTAGGTTGCGTTGCTTTTAATATTTCTAATAGCTAACACAGTTCTGTATAAGATTTCTTAATACTGGGTAAATTAAACCAGAAGTTCTGAGATACTGTAAATTGCCTATATAAATAAAAAGATTTTTTTTTTTTACTCTAGATATTAAAACAACAATGGATTGAATCATCTTAATGTCTTTTGTAACTGCTAATATTCAGGTCTTTTAGACTGCTTTCTGAGAGTTAAGCTACTAAAACAGCTAGACCAGTATTTATTTTAGATTAACAATTAAAAGGATGAAGCGATTCTCTTGTACGGAAGCATGCTACCTATGAGTCCTACTTCACTTTGGCAAACGAACTAACAAACCATTATTTAGCCATTTTGTGGCCCCTGACACCTGGCACAGTAGTGGCAGGCTGGCAACTCAGGCATTTGGTATTCAAGGCAATGAAAGGGACCTAGGTTTCTGGTCTTCCCCTCAGATCTCATGGAAAGTAGTTGGTTAGCCTTTAAATAATTAAACAGCACTTGCTTCTTACCAACTTACGTATAAATCTTGGTTTTCTTGGTTCTTAGATGAACTCTGAGAAGTTTCTTACTCATCTACACTGAACACTCACCAGCTTTTTCAGAAACAAAGCCTGTTTCGAAATGAGGAGAGTTCTTCCTTCTCCCCTGATAGTTTCTAGGCTTTATTGTTTCAGGAGAAACAGCTGCCTCTAGTTTAACTCTCTCTACTTGACAAGAGAATTCATCTCTAAGTTAGAAACAGGAATTCTGGAAAAAGATCATGAGCCCCTTGTTCAGTAGCTGCTAGAGATCAGTTTTAACATTTTGCCCCGTTCACAGAACTATTAAGGCATAAAAACATCTCAAGTATTCTGAGATGTTCTGGCATTCTCCCCTGACAGGAGTTCTGGTACAGACTGGGCTGTTGTAATTGCAGATAATAGCAATATCCAGAATAGCTGAAAACTGTAAAAAAGGCCATTTAGTTGTATTTCGATCTTCTGTCTGATCTCTTTTATGAAAGACGCATAAGTATTTCTTTATAGGATGTTCAAACAATATCGTTTGCAGAGGGGAGAATGCCTTGCTAATTGCAAGATAAAAGCAGATATGAGGCATAATAAACATTGCTTAAATATAAGGACTCATCTTGTTTCAGAATAAGCCTAGTCTAATTGTGGCACTAGGAACTGCATAAATAAGTATCTTAAACTGTTTTAAATTCATGGGTTATGCTGGCCTGAAACCAAAACACCTTTGCGCTCTGATTTTTGTCAGATTCTTATAAAACATGGAGTATCACTGAAGATGACTATCGAGCTGTTGCAGTAATTAGTTCTGATGAATGAGTAGATCATCGGTTTCCTTTACAGTTAATAGAACCAGTTCCCCAGCACAATGTTAAGGGATTCTGCTGCATCTCACAAGAAACACAAAATCGACATCACAATCACTTTGAGACTTGAACAGACCTCTGAGGGACAGTTCAGGAAAGGAGAAATATGAACATAGTCTTAAATGAATTTGGTGCATCTAAATGTTTACTTACCATAAATTCACATGACTTAAACTGGATTTAGTGGCACTGCAGTGGTCCTATCATACAGCTTCTCTACTTTATATCCTAAATTGTAGCTGAAGTGATTCCTTAAATGCTGTCAGTGTATATAGCTTCCATGCTAATCTTCAAAAATATTTCAAAAAAATTCAGGAAACCAGCCACACCGTGTAAGGGCATTACAGCAGCATTCAGTTGGCGTGCCCAACTGAATTTGTATGTTCAGCTACGCACAGGCACACCGGGTAGGTAGGGAAGGCTGGGTTTGATGCAGAGAGTAACGTAAATCCTAAATGGAACATACGGTTCCCAGAACTTTTAGTTTAGATTCCAAAGTTAACTTCTGCTTAGTCATTTCACTTTTTGTCACAAATAACTGCTCAGAGTTGGCATATCCTCATAGAATACTACTTGCAGCAACAATAAGAACTTAATTTCCCTGCTATACTTGTAAAAACTCTGTCGTCGTGGCAAGGTTTCTTCACTTGGCTGGACCTTTACTTAGTTGACAAGTGGCCCTGCTCACTTACCATTTTCTTGTTTTTTTTAAAACTGATTTTCAAACTGGGAATCATAGACTTCTGGTTTAGCTGCTGGGATAAATGAAGATACAGCAGGGAAAACTTGTTTGTATGTATTTAAGTTGGTGCAGCGATCCAACAATTTATCGCCTTTTTCCCAAACTATAACAAATAGGAATTTAATTAAATCAAAATAGTTTGAGGGGGTTCACAGTTAATTTAATTCCCCTTTGGTTTTTGAGCAGAACGAATGCCGCATGTTTCGTGTTCAGTTTGGTGGAGATTCAAAGGAACAGATGCTGGAACACTGCTGCAATTGCGTTCAGAAACTTGCAGAGTACCTCCCGGTTCAAGTAACTGATGAACGAAGCCAGCAGCTCTATCACAGTCTCGATCAGCTGGCTAATGGTGAAAATCAAGTGAAGGATACTGAACAAAATGCATCAGTACTACATACAGTAAGTACGCAAGAACATAAAGACAGAAAAATAATCAGCTATTAGTGTTAGATCTGTAAATGACAAATTTTACTTCTGAAGAGAGGTTTTTGCAAGTATGAGACCATCTATATGAAATACGATTTGGGAAACCCAAAATTCGGTTTACATGCAGGCAAACCTAGTTAGTGAACAGGGCTAGAGTTATTCAGGAAGTCAGCTGCTGAAGCTGGCGATCGTCTTCCTATTTTCTTAGTGTGCCTGGAAAAAAAGTTAACAGAACAGTGCTCAAACCCCTCAAACTTATCGTAATATACCTCAGAGCAATCAGGTGCCTTTGTTTTGGCCTCCAGAAAGTCACTAATAACAGAGATTAATATACACATTTCCTGTTATCGTAGGAAGAATATTAGCAAGCATATGGTATGAGATTTATAGGTGGAAAAAGCTTTGCTCTGGGGTTTCAACTTCTCCTTAGCTAGGGACCCTGGAAACGAAGAGAACAATTTATGCAGGGCTCAGGCAAACATAGGAAGTTACTAACCAGTAAAAGAAACGGCAGCAAAGGCTACAGCCAAGTGTTATTTACCAATTCCCAGTCAGATGGTGGTACGGTTTGGTGGAAGACCTAGATGCTTTCTGCTGAGGTTAATAAACAAGAACAGGGGGCAGAGGATGAGAGCTGAATAGTTACCAAAAAACCACGTCTACAATTTCATTAGTGTGGTTTTCAGCTAAGACTGCTGGGAACCACCTGGCAGAATTTCAAATAAATTATACAGGGTAAGAAAAATGATCAGAGCCATTTAAGTAACCATGAATTGTGTTCTCCTTTTTGTATCTACCTACTCCTGTTTTGCAGCGTTAGTAATGGTAAATATAGCAATTGTATCAATTTGAGCTTAACCTGACACATTTAAAAGTGATTTCAGGTAGGAACAGAATCTTTCCCCTCTCCAAGACAAAGACGTAAGGTAATTTGAAAAGGCAAAGGCAGATAGTATTTCTGAGGGTGACTAATTCTTAAATATATGCCCTCTTGGGTATCCAGAGGATCGCATTTACCAGCTCTAAAAAGCATCCCTGCAGCTAACTTGGCCAGGATAGCTCTGGGGTAGATGATAAAAATATCAGGACCAAGACTGAGCCCTGAAAAAGGAATGGCAAAGCTTTCAGCTACATCATTTTCATGATACAATCTAGGAAGGTCCTACTCTACTGGACAGCGGAATCATATTTGGTAGAGAAAGTGCGGGGAAAAAAATATATTGCTAATTTGACTCACACCATTTCCAAGGAAGGCATATGGGAGACCTTCAACAGCTGATATTCAAGATTTATTGTTTGCTCTTTAAGCAGATTACCTACACTTTGGGCTCTGCTCATTTCCTGATAAGCTAAAGCAAAGAATGAAAGGTAAAGAATTTCATGGCAGAATGCTATTGAACACCAACAGTCATACTATTGGTATTAATAATGCTCTTTCTCCAGAAGTTAAGACTGAAAACCTTGCTCAGAAAATAGAATTGACAACTTAAGCCATCTTTTCTGTGATGTGACCCACGGGAAGGAAAAAAAGCATGCTCCTGGTGAGCATTCATACACAGCATTTTTTTTAAAGTAACTTTTAAACTACTTACTGGAAGTAATCTTAGTTTAGACATGACAGTTTAACTACAGGCCCATTATTTCATGTCTTTCATTTTTCAAGACTTGAGCAGATGTGCATTCAGGTTCCATAAAAAGATGCCTTTTTACTGCATAAGGTAGCTGAGCACATTCTCTTTCTGTTATCTCTAAAAATGGAACTACTTCCCTTCTTGCACATACTCACACTCTGCTTGGTAACAAGCCCTTATTTGCATTTGGTATTTTCTAGCCAGATGAGCCTCTACCAGATTCCTGCCTTGGAGAAAGAAGATCTGTAGCACAGCTAGCACAGGTAAAAAAAAATAAAATATTTAGATCCTGTAACTGAATCACTTGGGTATGGAGAGAGCGCAAGCTCTCTCATGTGCTGTCAACATCTGGCTAATGTCTTCACCAACATCAGGATGCCATCATCTACACCAACAAAAACGCAGGATCTTGTGTAACGATCTGGAGCTAGGAAGTAAGCTGCCAACCCAGGTATTTCATGGTGTAATTACCCCATTTGTATAAGAACAAACCACCCCACCGAGAGCAGACAAATACCCAGAGGTCACATCCAAATAAATGGCTTCATCACTCCTTGACTCTGCAGAAATGACCTCTGCAGTCATAGCTTAAGTCTGAAAATACCAATCATCCTTGACCCACAACAAAAGATCCCATAATTCAATTGACAGCTTCACTGAGAAGTCCAGGGTAAAGCCATGCTTAAAAATAACTGGAAGTTAACTGTTGCTTGTTTACTGTGTGAATTTGGGACAGTACAGAATCAGATGATTGAGGAGAAAACTCTCTCCAGCCTCTGTTTTTGTGCGGTTGCTTCTATGGGTCTTCCTTACCCTTTTTCTGCATTGATAGGATGATCCAGTCACTGTTTCTTCACGTCAGTGGTTTAAGGGATGACAACTATGCTCCCTATTACAAATCTGTCCTCTCTTAAACCCAAAAAAGCCTTTTAAACACCTCTATTTTCAGAAAGCAGAGTTCCCTGTACGCTCATCTCAGTGTTACCCACCCTGTGGTTTCATTCCCAACAGTTTCGTTACTGGCTTGTACAATGCAGCAAGAGCGCATCAACAAGTGAGTGATCAAACAAGGCAGTTTGCCTTTCGCAACTGTGTTTTTAATGACCAATCTCTCTTTAAGAGGCAATACTAGGAAGTGTAAATTAGCACCAACATTATAAAGAACAACTTAGCTTCTAAAAACTGCTGTTCTGTGGTCCCTGTACAGGATGGGAACATGATACCTGCTTCCAACAAAGCTGTCTGCTAGCGAGGCCTGTATTTGCTGTACACATTCATCCATCTCTCGCTCAAATGACTAACTAACAAATTCCTCGGCACAAGACGACTCCTTGCTGTAGTAGTTTCTTTCCTACATCTTCCTCTACTTTCCCCTCTTCTTAGTCAGCCTAACGCAACTGTGCTCAGCCCTGGGATCTCCCATGCCCTGGCCCACAGGCTTGCCATACAAAGTTTGATCACAGCTGAACTGCTTTTCCCCACTTGAACTTCAGAAACACACCCTTTCAGCTGGTGCTCTGGCACACTCTGGAGTTAAATTTCTCCATTTCCACCTCTTCAGGAAGCTAGCAGAAGCCCTGGTGTTAAGCATTTTCTTTCAGGTTTTTATTGTTTTTTGTTTGTGTTGTTTTTTTTAAAAGATATTCAGTCATCTTCAATTTGTGTTTAATGATATTTTTCTCCAGTCAAGACTATGGCACGACCCAGGAAAAGAGCAATACTGCAATGTAAACCAACAATAAGATTAGCAAAAATATTAAGGGTTGGGATCCCCCCCCCAAGTCAAACACAGCTATGCTCCAGCTGTCTGCGTGCCTGGTCCATCTGCCAGTTGTTTTGCACTGTTTCAGGTTCAAGCAGCAGTAGCTGGGGCCTGACTGAACTGAACAGCAGTTCTGCCTTTCCCAGGTGGAGAGGCTTGGTTTAACCCGAGCCTCTCATATCAGCACATCAAAAAAAAAAAAAGCCAATCTAGGCATTTGAGGTTTTTTAAAGCCAGATACAGACTAACTAGCATTAGGCATTCCCCCTGTAATAACGCCATTCACCTTGGATCGCCTCTGCACATCATACCTACCTCATCATGAAAGTAGCACTTGTGATTTTCTTTGCTCTCCCATGCAGAGTATCCAAAAAGCATCCATAACTGATGCTGCAGCTTTAATGACTTCAGCACAGACGGGTAAAGAAAGTTAAAAGCTGAGTGGGTGGCGAGGTCTATAGAACATTTGCAGCCCTAACGATGGAAAAATTTTGGTACACACACTCGGTCATTAACACACACTATGAATAACGTGGTTTACAACGAGCAGCAGCCCTGGCTGCAGTAGGGCCTTTGAACTGTGAAGTTGCTCTTTCTTTAACGTGGCTTACATCCAGCAGGGAAGCTGGCAGCCCGCCACAAGAAAGTTTTAGTCGAGCTGCTTCGGCTTGTCATCACAGGAACAGCAGCACGGAAAGCGCTCAGGAGTTGCCCGATAACCTACCGGTCCGTTAGACTTGTGCATTTCTCCAGCACATCTAATGGATGAGCGCGGCATCGCCAATGGATGCTGGGAGGCGGTCAGGGCTTCCTCGCCCTCAGCGCATGATGTTCAGCATCTTCCACTCTGCTGCCGCTAGTTTTACACTGAAGCATGACGCGATGCACCTAGCTCGCCCACCGCCAAGGGAAAAAGCTGGGGGATGGCGTTAGAGAGGCATGAAAAGGGTGATTTAACTCTTTAAAAAAACCCATAGTTTACTTCTAAAAGACATCTTGCTAAATAATTAAGAGCTTAGAACCACATACTTGGTTATCCGTACACAACTGCAGTGGCAGTACGTACGCCTCATGCAGGATCCTCTTCTCTTACCCAGAACGGATATTCCCGAGGAAGCCGTGCTACCCAGGAAGTTGGCATTTCTGATTTAAATAATTGCTAAGGAATTCAAAGTTGCATAAAAGCTATATTGGAATCGAAGCTAGGTATTGGAGAAAAGAGTACATACCGAAATCATGTCTGATTGAAAGTATTCAAACAGCGTAACAACAAGGCAGATGCATCGTTATTAAATACCGAAGGAAAACTTTGATGTAGCTGCATTGTTACAAAAACCGGACGTAAAAGGTAACATTGCACAAGCTTAGCGCAACACCTTTGGGTTTTGACTTTCGCAGTCTGTGCTGAAACAGAAGTTTGAGCCCCCCCTTGGGTATCGGCATTCAGCGTGGCGCGCACAAGAGCTGGGGCCCTTCATTCGCTTATGTCTCATGGATCAGAATTTCCCAGCTTTTGTGGAAGATGTGGAGAAGGAATTGAAAAAACTCACGGAAAGCTGAGAAATACCAGCTCATTACCACCGGAATGCAGGCTCCAGGATACCCAGCGCTCGGGATACACGAGCTTAAGCGCGATTAAATATTCAGGGGAAAAAAACCCAAAACAAAATGTCTCTCATGTTTTTTTGTCAGTGTTTTATTTTTAAAAACAGGTGAATCCACTTTTATACATCATTGCACTTCAACAAATACACAGAACACAAGTTCATGCATCTACAGTTACGCACATCATGAGAACCCTGTTAGGTCTATTTCTACAATCTTTAAATCATGAGAAATTACAGTGTTAAACTAAAGAGTATAACTAGTTGCATAGAATATCACCATGCTGTAACATTTCATCATTTAAAACAAAAAAAAAAAAGAAAATTATAAAAGTTTGCCTGAATTGAATGTACAAGAATATGTTGAACACGTCAGTGCAAAAGGATTTGAGAATTTACATGAGTTAACAAAAAAAAAAATCACTTAAAAAGCAATCTTTTATATATATTTATAAACTGAAGTTTTGTTTTTGTTTTCAACTGCATTCCACCACGTCGAACCATTCCAGCTTTTGAAGTCTGATTATAGGACACCCAAGTCTCTCTGTATAGGTTAAGCCCTTAAGATAATTTCAGTTTATATTACTTCTCTAAGTACCAGAACAGTATAATTCTCTCATCTTTCAGACATACAGTAAGGAATGAATATCAGCAGCTTAAAAATGAAACACAATTACTGTATTTTGGTTTTTCCCCCTCCCCAAAATATAAATATATACTGTATATATTTTTAAGTTTTGCTGTACTTTACAAAAAGTATCACTAGATGGCAGCGGTGCGTTTTAGAGCTTTGCCAATTTTAACAGCTACAGGAAGTAAAAAATGGCGCATGCGTGAACCGACTTACTACTTCTAATGTTTAAATAGATTAAGGAGGGAAAAAAAAAAAGCAACATTCACAGCACATCAAGCCCAAAATAGTTTACACCTTCTACACTGAAGCGTTATTAAAATTTATCTGGCTAGGTCATCCTTACAGGAGAGGCTAAATAAGGCATGCTTTAGACAGTCATATTGTTGCTCACTTGAAAAGGAGGAGAGAAAAAAAAAACAAAAAAAACAAAAAAACCAGACAGAACTGGAGTTCTAGAACCAAGAGTTCCAACCCTTAAATTTAGCAGGTCCTATTGCCATCAGTCTCTCAGAAACTTAAAGCTCTAAAAAAGAAACGAGAAAAGGCGCTAGTCAATGCCTGGCAGCATTTTCAACATCACGTGCCATAACAGCGAGCAATCAAAGCGCTTAACATCCGTTTCGGTCTTAAACGACGGCAAAGGCTTCCCAGCCAAGGCTAGCTTCCAGATTTAAGACTGAACGAGGAGGGGTTTGGTTTTTTTTTTTTTAATTAGCAGTAGTGTGTTTATGCAGAGTTTGACAGCTACCGGATCATTAAACTACCTGCGTTATTTTACGAAAGAAATCTTTTGATAACCCCCAGTGCTCTCGGAAGGCGGCAGGAAGGCTAGTGCCATCCTCTGAGCAGCCGGTGACTTTTTAATACATGGAACAGGGTACGTTTACGCACCCCAACCACTACAGAAAAAGGAGGACTTCAGCCTGACCGTTTCTGAGATGTGGGCGAGTCATACTTACGTGATAAGCATTCTTAATTTGTGTTTCTCTGGCGTAAGTTTTTATCTTTATGATTGTTTGTAGAATTGGTTTTCCTGGCAAAATAAAGAAATGCACCCAAAATCAATCACAACCGTAGGAAAAAAAAAGTCTCTGTACACACTAAGTTGGGAGGAAGAAGAATGAAATGCTGTTTAACTCAAGGGGCTAAAGACAACACGGCTTTCAGGCTGTTTGTACGTTGCCACCTTCTTGCCCTGTGCAATTCACCTCCTACATCCGTCATTCTGCTTCCCCGTTTTGCCGCTGCCTTTTTACAACTGAAGCCGTCCCCCCCGCCCCTCCCCTGCCAATTGCTTAAGATATTTGTACAAAACCCCTCTCAAATCTGCTACAGCAGGCCGTCGGGGAGACCACGTGGTGGCTCCAGCACAAATACTTGTTTCTAACTCCTTCAGCAATACCCTTTTTTTCTAGCGGGGACCTTGCAGGTACCACTTTTCATCACCCCAACGCTAACAAATGACAAAAGGGTCCGTCACCATTGGTAATGTCACACCCAATATCAATCTTACGTCCTGCAAACTCCCATAAACCCTCAGATTAAGCTCAGCAATATTTTTCTCTTGAAATGCACTTACATTGGCCCAGCTGGTTCATCATCTGCAGCAAGAATTCCGAGGCAATCCAGGGAAAGACAAGGAAAGGAAAGAAAAAAAGAGAGTCAGTCTTTGCAGCGTACCACCGGCTGACCCGCAAACAGCACCCCGATCTATCTACAGCATTAAAGGCCATTCCACTTGGTAGTGCAAAGGTTCATGGAGTTATTTTTCTGGATTCGAGTTTTAATGGCAGGTATGTTGCTTCGATGGTTTTAGTTAACACTTTGAATGCTTGTCATGAAGAACTGCAACTGTAGCGGACAGATTGTTGCAATATGGTCAGACTCATCTTGTCCCCAAGTTCCAGTGGTTCAATCTCGTAAAAAATAGATGAGAAGACAAACCAACGTTTCAGTTGTAAAATCCTGCTGGTTGTTTTCTTGCATTGATTTTTTTTTTTTTAATGTTTTGGGGGTTTTTTTTAAGCCGTTCCTCAACTGCTGATGGATAATCGCTGGTATATACACACCAGGGTATATACACCATACGCTCATCTCCCCCCACGGATGATACAACCTCTACATACTCCATTTTTCTCAATGTCTAATTAGAACGGACCAGGTTAGGAGGAGGTTGAAGGTGCAATACTTGATTCAAGTATCCAAACGCAGTCCTTGGATAGCAGCAGGCATTGTGCGTGTGTCCGGCAGAGCACAGGGCTCCAAACACCAGGAAAAAGAGTTGGGGGTGTTGCAATACCTCCAGACACAACAGACTTCAGCTACAGAAGACTGACAGCATTGTTCTGCCTGTGTCTCTTGGCAAAAGTATTCTCTTTTAAGAATTGGTAAAAGGTCTGCCAATGAGTAATGTTTCGCGTTAGCTCTTTCGTGACCAATTGAACATTTTTTTGAATTGTGAAACACCTTATTTTGCCCCCAAGCTGCAGTACAGAAGACGGAAGTGCAGTTAAACAGCAGTACAAAAATCAGTCCAGAAAGTTAACGCTCCTGTAGAAGTGTTTTGGGGGGACCAATTCAGGACCTGCTGCTTTTGGCACTCAACAGTTGCCATTCCCACCACGTGCTAGAGGGATTTTTCACTGAAGTCTTTAAGAAACTCTCAGCAGGATTCCACAAGGGTGCTTAGTGCACATGAAGCAGTTATGGAAATTACAGTCTTAACAGTGTAGGCATCCGCATGAGCACACGCTAGGAGTAATGTCGGTCAAAGGGGACATTACTCCACCTGCACCTTCAAGGCAACGGATAGGCAAAGCCACCGCTAGCACAGACAGTGACCGGAACAAAAAAAAAAATATTTCAAAAAAATAAAGAACTAACCACAAACCAAGAGCTTTACAGCCAAAATAACACACTAGCGACACACCAGTGTCCACAGAAGTCCATTACCAGCAACAGTACACTATCGGACAAGATACAGAGAGAACTAGGACTAGTAAGGACAACCAGACATCAATGTGCTGTTGTATATACAGTGGAGATATACAGAGACACATCAGGTACTGAAACACAAAGCACAGCAGAGTAAATCTAGAACCTCCCTCCACAAACATCTTTTGATTCACAAAAGATCTTAAAGCAGGCTGCGCTACGTACTCGGCACGCTGGCTGGGAAGAGCCTCGGACAGACAGCAAGCCCTTGGTTCCCCCCACCCCCAGATCAGCGCTGCTACTCGGTTATCTCAGCTTTCTAGCAAGCATCATCGACATCTTTGGGAGTTTGTTTGGCTGGACTTCAGAAATATCAGACTGCACCGTTAAGATACAAGCTCTCTCTCGCTATAAAATAACCATTTTTCCTTCTCTGTGAAAATATTTAGACGCCTATTTCAGATAAGTAGTTTTGTGTGTTTAAAAAAGAAAAAAGCTTCACATTTATAAAGGCTGCCATCCGGTGTTTTCCTAACAAAGATCCAACAAAAATGCCTATTAGAATACTTAAGATTATATAGTGGATCACCACCGCTCCTCCCTTTCCCATCTATAACCTGAACGGAGATAAAATAAGACCGAGGAAAGCTGCTCTGTGCGTTACTATCCTGGTCAGCCATTTAACTGCTGGAAAAGCATCCCCAGCACAGTACAGACAGAGACCGAAACCTTAGCGAAATCAGGGGGCAACAGAACAACAGAAAAATAAGTACAAAATTAGACTAAATCAAGATTAAAAAACAGCAAACTGAAATCCAAATTAGTTGTGAACGTGAATGAAGAAGTTTTAAGAAAAAGTGTTAACATTATGACTTGTGCATTGTATAGACTGAAGCGGAGATTAAACAAACTCCAAAGCATGCAGATCTCTCACTTACCACCATTTTTTTAAGGGTATGATGCAATTGAAGGGAGGGGGGGAAAAAAAAAAAAAAAAAAAAGAAGTCATAGTAACCGACAAATATCAACATAACTCAAAACCTTTATGCCAGAAGACCTGCCCTAGTAACCGATTGTCTCCAACAGCATGTAAAACCTCCGGCCACAGAGAACATCCTCCCAGTGTGCTGCTTCATTCCATTCCGCACCCGCGGGGCTCCCGAAACGCTGCCAGGTGAGCTGTAATTTTATAATTGACCACACTAAACCCCTCCTTTTGCAGGAATTGCCTTTTGAATTTGGAGGGGGTCTGCGGACTCCAAAACCCCCACTGTTCATAGAATACCAGATTAAAGAAAACCCCAACCGGCCAAGCCTTTCTCGTGGGCACGGCGGTTATCTGCTTAGCGTTGCCCTGAAATAGCGCACTTCTGAACTGAAAGGTTAGA